TTCGATTATCCATATGTTTCGTCTACCATTTTTGTCCTCTCTTCGATCATAAAGAAACGTAAACCTGTCCCAGTTTACGTAATTTACCTCGTATGTCGGTTTGAGGTAGAAAGAGTGATTGGAATCCAATGGGAAGCATTAAGCCATCCTAACAATTAGACAAGCGGTGAGAATTGCAATATTTTTGCACGGAGAAGCGTAGATTTTAATTGCTCCTCGATCCTTGCTGATTGAGGCGAAATCTCAACCTAACAGCTCATTACGGTTCCGCTTTTTTCCCGCCTTTAATGACTTTGCTTCATTGGTAGACGTTAATGATGAACGTTACAACGAAAGCTTCAACACGTAGAAAGAAATACGGCGCACAAATACTTACCTTCAGCGCGATCAATCGTCTATTTGTCATCTAGGTTTCATACGTATTTGTTTGTTTTTTCTTTTTTATTTGTTCGACTTTAATACTACATTCCTCTAACATTGTCGTGGTTAACCTCTATGTACTTCGCTGTCTAACACATGTATATTCGCTACGTACTACACCCACAAACAATTGCATGTAACGTTACAGAACCAGAAGAGTGGACCATCGAATCGTCTTTTACATCGCACTTTTAGGTAATTGTATCGTAAAAAGTCATAGACCATTTACAGAAGAACGATCTTATTATTTTCATATATTTCTTGTTTTGTAGTTTCGAAAACTTTGATCCTGGAATTATAACTTAGGACGTGCTCAAGTTGAATTCTGCAACTATCTAGGTGTTTGTGAAGTTAGACTAGAATAGATAATAATTAAAGAAAAGGTGGTTACATTTATGGAAGACCTGGTTTAAAATCATAAATCAAAATACTGAACAAATTACATTTATATTATGAATATTGGTAATCAATGCAGCAAATATCACATTTATTCTGATGTGATACGTAACAAAAGATCAGTGAATACTCAACTCTTTTTAGTTTAGAAATTGGACTAAATTCTGACGCGAGGCAAAGAATTGATTTATTATTTAGTCGTAATGATTTTCATGGACGTCTGTTTCTCGAAAATAAATTTCATTTAGGATAAGTTGATTCCCCCGAAATGATCTAAGACTTTGAAATGATATTCACTTATTCTGGAGAGTTTGAACTTGAAAAAGAAGATAATATTAGAGATATAGTAGTATGCAGAAGATAATATTATATAAATATTTAATTTGAACATTTTGTCACGATGTTCCATGTCTTCTGTCGTTCTGCTTACTTTTTTTTTGTACATAGTACCCTTAAACTGAGTAACACGTATCTTAATCGCATATAGATGATGCTTGCATAGTAAAGATTCGCGCATAGAATAGGAAGAATAATTGGGAATTCATTAAGATTCACGGCGGCCTTATTGCAGATAAATAAATATTTACCCACGCGAAACGAATTAGGTTGACGATTACCGTTGGCAGTGAATTTTGAATAATACACGAAACTTGAAAATAATTTAAAATTGAATTGGAATTTAATTTTAGTAACTTCTAGGTTTTATATAAGTGTATGATATATTTAATCGAGAACCGCGTTCTCATTGATTATACGATATCGATCGCGTATCAAGTATCTTAACAATTAATAAGTACAGTAGCCGCTGTGAAACGTTTGAATTGGTACACGTTTAATTGCAGTTTATGATTGTATTTTAAGTAATTAACATCTGCAATATGAAAATTATACTTTTCGCGAGGATATTGATTGCCAGTAATTTACATAAATAGTTCACGGTGCAAGGTAATTGCTTACTTATTTTTCTGTAAAAAACGTATAAACGTTTGAAAATTATAGAATGGGAAATATAAATATGTATGATCATCTTCTTTCAATTAATACAATGTTACGTAAAAGCGGTCATTAAAGTAAGCTTAAAGCATATCTTTGCGAATGAGCGACAAAGAGCTTTTGAAATATCCATTCTTAGATTTATCCTGTTATATTTTGCATTTTCTTCCTATTTTATTCTTTTTAACGACGTAATTCCGTTTTGTGACTGTAAATTTGTGTACAATTCTTTTTGTAGAGCGCTTTATTGAAAAATACATTCCTCGCGGATATCGTCCTCGAAAAAATTTTGGATTCGTTTCGTTTATCGATTAATGATTGTATCAGAAAGCTCGATTAAAAGTATCAAAGCTATACACTGTCATTACAACTAGTTTTACGACACCGATTCCCGTCTCTCGATGGTGTCTTTAAAAATGTGTTGTTAAAAAGCATGATCAGTCGAAAAGGTAACAGTTTACCTTATAAAATTCTTTAAAACGTACAAAAATGTAGCGTTTCAATACTTTCTCACAAAAGAAATATCAATAAAATGATTAAGGGGCCTTTCTACTTTGTGGGATTTAAAAAATCGAATGTTTTTTTTGCGCTTTCTTTTAGTATGTAGCATCAAAAATATATCTACCAAATATTAAATTGAAGTACCACGCGCAGGTATAACAACGGTTGTTCGTTGATCAACAAAAACAGCGTAATCAATAGATATTATGTGTTGCAAAAATTCGTAAATATAGTTAAATATATAATAAATATATCCACAAAACCCGGAATTAATCGCTCTTTAAAAAAAAAATCATAAAGGAACATGTATTTTTCTTGCCTACAAAATAGAATGCCCCCTTAATATGCACACGCAAGGAAGATTCATAATAATGCGAGAAACATGTATTATAAGTAAAATATGTCCGTGATATTCTTTTATACGCTATGATAATTGACTTATACAGGATGCCACGCTAATTCTATCATGAGAAAGTTTTTGCAAACGTAGTAACGATATCAATACAACTGGTTTTAAAGTTTACTGTGATAAGGGGCCTTATACTATATGCAGAAGATTTTATAAACTTTCTGAAAGAAATAACGGAGAATTTTTAATCATCTTCGATCTTCTTTTTTTTTTATTTTCCTTGGCACAAGAAATTTGTATATTTCCACTTCCATCGTTTTGGGGTAATGAATCGTGTTTTATAATTACAGTTTTTAATCTTCTATATTAACACATTGTTCATTATAGAATTTACGATACACTGTGTAAACTCAGTTCAAGCTACATATCTTCCTTCTCATAAATATTGTATATTTGATAGATATAATACAATATAATTATTATACTGTTAAATAACAAGGCTCTGTCATAGTTTGTAATAAATTATTAGTCTCAGCAGTAAACTGTTATCTATCAAATATATTCCATCGTGTTTATAGAATTAATTTCGATGTATGTAACCTACATTAAATATGACGAGCTCCGCGAATCGCTATAAAATAATAGTAATCTCTTGACAACTCCATGATACGTAACATTTGAAATAGGTTATTAATCCAAGGACATTATTATTTATTACATACGTATTATTGTATTTTGAGAATCAATTCCAATACACGCAACCTAGATACGAGTGTAGCGTCAATAGATCCGCGTCGTTTATAATTTCACATAAGTTGCGAATTAAAAAATTGTTTGAACTCACTTTAATAATAAATGTTTTTACCTTGTTGACACTAAAATTTCTTCCTAGAAAAAAACTACATATTTTCATAAGTATTACTTGTAAGACACATAACTGTTTTTCGCAAAAATAAAAGATATATACATATCAAATGCATCCAAATATGGAAAATATATTAGAACAAATGGAACGAAATCGAAATTCTCAGAATCTGCAGTATATTTAAGATCGTATGTATTATGCATATTCCGATGACATTTTGCAGAGTTTATGCAACCCAGCGTACATAGGTTACATACATAGACGTTTCAGTACGTTAGAGATGTTTTATTATGTGATATACTGCTCGCGTACATCGCGCAATCGTCAAGCGCCTTGGGAAGAAGAGGCGTAGCGTGAACTGAGACACGTGTCTCTCAAACGGAATAAATTAATGCTGCCTGGATTATTTAGGAGGCTGTTGCGGGCAAAAGTTACTCGGATTATTCGCAAATTTACGTTTAAATTCGTCAGAAATACAATTTAGGATTCACGAGTTACACGACCGTTTATTTTCCTAGCTGGAAACTTGTTTTTTTACGCACGTTACCAAAGAATTCTCGTTAGAATGAAGTTAAATCATATTAAAGCTCTTTGCGTAGGGGTCGATACAGCATCCTGTATAGCATTTGGAAAATAACATTGTCGATTGGCAATCCGTGGGAGTTTGTTGGCCAGGGCTGCGCCAAATGTAACAGAATTCGGAGAAAGAAGGCCTGCATATAAGTAGGCCACCCCAAGGCAGTGCGTGTACGGATAATGGAATCCTTGAATATTTGGTACTTCTTCGAGGCAAGCGATCTCTATCTGGTTCGTTGCTCGTAAAAAATATGTTCCTGTTGTTGAACATAAAGACAATTCGTACTGAAGCCTCGCGCGGAAGTATGCCTATGCTGTTCGAACTAATTATAAGAGCTTTTATCCTTCGAAACGGCGATGGTTATTGCGATGAAATGATTTTTATCGATGTCTTGAAACGCATCAATGTTTTTTTGTCTTTGAAGCCGAACGATTCGATCGTTCGTTAAACTAGAAAATTTATGTGTGCACGTTTTAAAATGTACTTAAAGTTTAATACGTTTTCTCGCCGCGTGAAATGTCATATCTTGTAAGCGCTTACCGTAGCAGTTGTTACTACAGTACGCACAGTCACCTAATGCTAGTCATACGTACGTGTTTCTATGTGTTGCGTGCATCCCTGCACAGAAATTAATATATATATATTCATACATATACATTATATACATCCGAGAATGCAGTCTAAAACTATATCAATGCATTCTACTCCTATATACATAAAGCGCACAATACTCAGATTCTCTGCGTTTGTATCGCAACTGTTTACTACGTTATTGTCCAATTTCACCATTAACATGGCGCTATGAGTATAATTCGGTATCAACTATGGAAGGCCTTCTTCTTCTTCTTCATAACATTCATCTCCGAACATCTACTTCGTCAAACTCTTCTCTTTCTTGTTCACGTCATGTGCAAGTCGCCCTTCAATATTCTCGTGAAGGTTTTCTTGAACTGTTGGTTGGCCAGAGCGTAGCAGAACGGGTTCATGGGACTGTTAGCGTAGCACAAAAAATACGAAAACATAAAAAGATGCTCGTTCGTGCACGGTGGCTTCGTACAGAATCCCTCCACCAACGCCAGAATGTGGTAAGGTGTCCAGCAAGCGACAAACGCTCCCAAGATGAAGGATATCGTTCTGAACGCCTTCCTCGCTCTGTTTTCCGTCCGTGATTTCTGTCGACCCACCATAGGGTTTCTTCTTTGCGTTTTGCTCTTCAAACGTTTCCCGATCGATTTCACGAAGTCCCTTCTGGAACCGCCTTCCTTGTTGTCTCGAGCGTCCTTCTTCTTCGTGTCGTGTTCGTTCACGGTTGTCCCGGAAGCGGTGGGCACCACGCTGCCGCTGGAGGACGAATTCTGTGGCGGATTAGTGACCTTTGTGACCTGGTCCGCGAACGATTCCGCCCTTACGTTGACCGATTCCACGGCTGGCTTGCTGACCACCGTCGTCACCGGCTGATGTTTCGAATCTTGAGCCTTCACGGTGACCTCCGTGTGCACTTTGCTGACGGTGGGCGACGTCTGAGACGCGGCGTTTGTCTTCTGAGTGATGAATACGCGAGGAGGATGCGTTTGGCTCGAGGCGTTGGACATCGCTGGCAACGGTTGGCTCTGTTTGTTTATACTTATTTGCTGGTTGCCCGCTTGTTGCGCCGTGGCTCTGATCAGAGCAGCTTGCAGCAAATTGATGTTCGACGAGGAAGCTGTGTTACCTAAAATCGGCGACGAAGGTGTGGTTGAGAGGGGATTGGCTAGGCTACACGAGAAGGAAGACGGTGGACTTTCGCACGAGGGGCTGGGTAATATCACCGAGCTCTCGTCCATGTATCTCAGATCACCGCTGTCCAAGCCGGTTAAGATATCGAAGGTGCCTGGACCTTGGGGAGGCACCACCAACGATTTTGGCCTGTCCGTGGACGACGAAGTTAGCGGGCTATCGGTCACGGGAGGGCTACTTTGGAATTGCGTGGGCGGCGGTATGATATTTTGTTGGCTGCTGTTGATCGAATGGTTGGGATGAGTGGGCGGCGAAGTCTCCGCAGAGGTTACAGGCTGTTGACTACTGCCGTTCCCGTTCGACTTTAGAGACTGTTCGGGCGTTAACGTCCGACTGGACTTGTCGGGTTCCGCTAGATTGTCGGTGTCCAGAAGGCTGAGCTCTTGTATCTTCGGCAGTGTTTGAGCCTTCTGCGTCGTCGTGCCTATATCGCACGTCAGGCTCGCCGACAGAATTTTTCTCGACGCAGGCAAGCTCGAAGGATCACCCTTCGCGGGAACGACCCCGTTCAAGCGACCATTAGTGACGAAAACCTGGAGAGCACCGGATTGAGCAACCATATCGGCCAAAGAAGGTCGTTTCCTAACGTTAGAGACATGTTGACCTGGTCCGAATGTGCTTTCCTCGTCCGAGTCGAACACCGGGCTACTCGAACGTTCAGACTTTTCAGTTTCCGGGGGCAAAGTGCTCGCACAGGTTTGCTTTCCCGCGGAATCGGTCATCCCGGTCGCGGACGTCTTCGATGAGGTCTTCTGGCCCGATCCCTCGCCTTCCGCGGCATCCTCCTCCGATGTGCCTACTTTCTGTTTATCTTGACTCAAAAGGGTGCTTTGCGTCTTAGACATTCCTATACCGGCCGCCATTCCAGACATCGCGCCAGCACTGAGGGCGACCATCGATTGCATTTTACGCTGTTTAGCCTCGCTTTTCTTCTGCATGTCGTACGCCGTTTTATATATACAACCGTAGAGGATAAATAAAACCACGAGCGTCGTCCAATAATAGCCAATTATCAGAGCGGTATTGAATACCGGATCCTTGAGGAATTGCACGGCGCATTGGCCAGGACTCAAGTCTCTGTAACCAATGAAGTATTGCCAGCCAAATATACTGGGAAAGAACAGTAGGGCAGGGATGATCCAAGTGATCGTGACCATCCAGATCACGCGATTCTTAGTTCGCCAGCTACGGTATTGCGCCGCTATCTTTACGGAGCAAAATCGATCGATGGTGATCAATAATACGGTGTATTGAGACACTAGACATACCGTATAGTCTACCGACAACCATAAATCGCAGAGCAATGGTCCGAGGTTCCAGTATCCCATCAGTACGTATACTGTGTAGAATGGCATGGACACGGTACCTGTTCAACAATTGTATCACGCTTAAATTCCATTCAACCTGAAAACTGTTAATGTACTTTGTGTGAATCATCAGGGAATATACGCGTATACAGACATTAACGTGAACTAAAATAGGCTCAGAACAGAATCAGGATTAGAACAAACTGCCGCTTGAATGCATTACGTTTGATAACTATGGCTTCGAGACTGTTACAAAATATAGTAGGATACATTAGTTGCTTGTTTTTGTGGATTATGTTTTTGTGAACTTTGTTCTGACTTAAATTAAAGATTAATCTACTTGCTTTGAAATTTCAACAAATAAATATTTTTTTTATTAAAATTAACGATTCTAAACGACTTAAACAAAAGATTCATTTGAATCTTCGTTGCTGTCAATTGGGGTTATTATGGTCGTAAGGCGTCATTATGATCAAAATATACAGGGTGTTCGGCTACCCCTGGGGAAATTTTAATGAGAAATTCTAGAGGCTAAAATAAGGCGAAAATGAAGGATACTAATTTGATGATTGAGGCATCGTTAAAAAGTTATAGAAACATTTCCGGCCTCACAGAATATTTTCGATATAGAATTTTTTTCTCGGAAGTACGTAGGAATTCGGAGGTATGTGAATTCATCAATAATGATTGTAATTGATCCCCGCAACTAAAAATAATTTTCCCAGAACAATTTAAAAATTTTTAATTTTGTCGAAAAATTTGTCCACCTTCCTGAATTTTTTCTCGGAAATGCGAAGGATTTCTGGGGTATATGTATTCACCACAAATGATTGTAATTAACCCCCGCAACCGAAAATAATTTTTCCGTGAACGATTTGAAATTTTTTAATAACTTTTTAACGATACCATAATCAACAAATTGATATTCTTGATTTTCGTCTTATTTTGGCCTCTAAAATCTCCCATTAAAATTTTTTCCCAGGGATGGCCGAACACCCTGTATAAGAAAGTAGGTAGACACACGTTAACGAACACCCAATTTTAATATTTTCTTCCAATTATTATTTTGTTCGTGATGTTTTTCATACATGAAAAATCATTTCAATATATGCCTTTGTGAAAAATAATATATTGGAATAACTGTTCAATATTTCTGATTGAAATCGAATTTAGAACCATTACATACGTATTATGGCAATTTAATTTTATATTTATTTTATATGACGTTTTAATTAAAGAAGAATCCCTATGAGCAAATCAAGGAGAAAAGGAAAAAACGTATTAGAGAAGATTCATCTGACATACGAGCTAAAAGTAATGAAAAAACCTTGGAAGAACTTCAAACATAAAAAGAAATAGTAAAGAAAGATGACGACGAACTTAAGAATGGACCAAAGAGAAAGGCTATGTTTTGGTTGTGCTTTTATAAAAGAAAAATGAAAGGGCATTAAATTCGAAAAGTATTATCGTATTTTTAAAACTAAGTTAATATATTTTGCCATGGTAACCTCACTTGGTGGTAATAGCTTTTGATTTATGAGAATGGTATTTCCATTTAGTTTCGGTGGATAGGATTTGTCATTACATCGATGAAATATCGCGATTCCAGTACTTTTACAAATAAAAATTAGAAAAGTTTATTTTGTACGTTTGTTTTCGTATATTTTTACTCTTATTCAGACATCAAGCACAAAAGATTGGACAAACTTACCAATAAGCATATCAGTGGCTGCTAATGAAGCAATGAAATAGTTGCTCGGTTGCCTGATAGCTCTATCTACGATAAATGCCAGAAGAACGAGAATGTTACCTCCGACAGTTAACAGTATGCATAATGCGATGGAGAGAGCAATCAGTATCGACTGCCAGAGTTCGAAGGGTGGTAGAACGGGTGTGAAAGTTTCCTCTGTTGAACATATAGATATCGCATCAGTAAATGTTACAACATGCTATTTTATTTTCGTATTTCATTGGAAATTTTATAATTCGTTGATATTAATATCGTGATGCGTGAACAATCTTTTCACATCAGTGTTTGTACTTTCTGTCCGACGTTATATCGTTATTATTTTCTTCTATTATTCGTAATTAAAATTATTAATAGTCTACTCGTGGTATTCTATTAATGATGTTATGAAATCGATTTTATGCCGTGGAACGTGAAAAATAATAAACTAGATAGCAATCCGTAGTAATCAGAATTAATTCATGATAATCGAAATTTCTTGAAAAATTAATTAGTTCCGGCATTTTATTAAAGAACGTGCTTTTCTTTAGTTATCCTCGGTATAAACAATTTTATTAGTCACGATGTATCGCACAATTTATAAATTATTTATTGTTACGTTTTAGGACAATTCCTCGACGACAGAATGTGCGTAATTCTTTAATCGCTAATCATACTGTCGCGAAAAATTCAATAGTATTACCAGTTGATAAAGCCGTTGTATTTCCCGTTATCGAGCAACAGTTGGTGTTATTTGTCGGAAACAGGTCTGGCAGAAGTTCTACATATTCTCCGCTATTCCAGCGTGGATCATCCGGGTCAGGCCATGTTCCATTAAACTGGGTGCACTCCGTTAAAATCTGGTTGTACATGCGACAAAATCGCTCCCGATGCCTCTCCCGTCTCCTATAAACGAAATTTTATTTCATTCTTCATTCATAGTTTCTTACTCTACCAAGTATCATTAACTTATCGATTTCTTTTCATTGTCGTACAATATTTTTATTTGTCGTCCCCGATTCGTACCAAAGAAATATAAAAATTGTCCATGGAATAAGAGCAGAGAGAAATCTGTCGATTATAAAGAGACACTGCTAGAATGTTTAATGTGGGCCACCGATAAAACACGCGACACAGGTAGAAAATCCTACAATGTCTTCGTATTATTGCTACAATAATTTTGTTCCGAAGACTTACGATAATTCGTCTCATAAAAACAATTTCTACTAGGCGCAGAAAATAAATCAGAGACTTCTTTTACGTTTCGACCCTAGGATCCAACGCTGAAACATTAAACCAGAGTAGAGACGCAAGAGAATCACCATTTCGGATTTCTTTTCTGTATCTGAAATTTTTATACAGTTAAGTTCACATGGTAGGTGGTGCAATAAAAACGTCCTAACGTACCGTGGTGTATGACAGTGAATGATAGGAAAAATAACTAATGATAAGGACGCTGCTTCGTCAGTAATGTTCGTTAGTATCAAAGAAAATGTGACACTAGTATTTCCTGATTTTAGCTAGTGACATGCACGTCTCTTGCTCTCCATGAAACATTGCTGCAGTGGCAACACGAGAAGCAAGTCAAAGGCTGAATGCACCCGACGCACAATGAGCTTGAAATAAGCATGAATGGAACCACATCCATTTCCCGCTTGCACGTCCCCGTCGCCGGCAGGGAAGAAACGACGGCCCGTACCTTAAAGAGGGTGAGTCGTTTTTAAATAATTTAGTCAGTCGATCGCGACTGCCTGGGTTAAACGTGCCTTCCAGTTTCACATTTTCGTTTCACTATGCTCGTCGAGCATGTGTTCAACATTATTCATTTACGAATTAAACAAAGGTGACTTCCACCGCTCCTTTTCGCGGACTTTCATGAATTTAAGTTAAACAAAAAATTTCTTCTCACCAGAGATACCGTCCGTAGAAAAAATACAATGGCATTCGTAAACAAATTTCTTCTAAATTAACGAATATCGACGATATAATATTTTTCACTTTGCTTCCTAATTCGGTGCACATAAAACGCTTTTTTTTTAATTAAGCTTAAAAAGTACACTTTGTAAAGCTTCATGCGTTTGACTAAATTACTGAAATAGTTTGTACGTGACTTTTTATATTTTTCTCGTATATTAATTAGCCTCGTTATTCCAGTCTCATCCAAGTCAAAAACTGGAAATTTTCGCGAAACTTTTGTTTCGCAATAGTTAATTAATTACGGAAAGTACGCGTACGAAATGCATGTTAAACACAAGTTTAGTAAACATATTTAACAATCCAAGTTGGAAATTCTTAATACCAAGATTGGTAAACTTTGCTCTGACACGGTGGAAACTGAATTCTGCGAGATAGTTCCGAAAGTTGTGTAACTTGGAATGCGTGTGAACGTTCACAGATATTTTTGTTGATGCCTTAATTTGTGCAACAAACTCTTCTAAGAGTATAAACGTTCTGCGTTTGGCTAGGCGAGACAGCTATTTTGAAGTCTGCATATCGGTGACTAAACTTTGCAACAATACTGAACTCCATGGAAACTTCAAACAGCTTAGTTGACTCATTTTACTTGGAAAATATATACCATCATTACGACAGTTTGATTCCCAACAAAGCTGGCCCCTACTTTTACGATCAATCATTTTGTTTAAATTCAGTTCTTATTTTTATATTTCATCGTATTGATTTCTATTTTCCGAACAAGGTTCTGTAACGTCATAAAAATATTGCAGAAATAATAGTCACGTTTTATTAATACAGTTGGCTATTGATGCTCGACAGATTCTCATCAATGAAGTTAGCGATGTCACGACTTCGATGTCAATGATTTGTAAGTCAATGAGAATCGCTCTAAGATTATTAGAACGGCTCGCAACAAGCGCAGACATTGAAGCCATGCGAATAAAAGATAGAGAGATGAGATCCATTGTTTCAATGTTCTCGAGGGTAAATACTTGTCCTCGTTATAGCGAGCGTTCTCTTCAAGCTGTGTCGCCGTGAAATGATTCGTAAATACTTGACCTCGTTATGGCGGCATTTCGTTTTTACGGCTCTACATTACAAGTGAAATGATACGTACTGGAGAGCTAACTAGCCGTAATTAGCTGAAACTTAGCGATAAGCTGAACTCTGCTTAAAATACGAATAGAAAAGTTCCATGGAAATGAAAATGAGGACGAAAATTGATTGAAAATTATTTTAACTTTGAATTTATTCGAAGAGTAGTCGAAAGAAATTAAAAGTAGTACGATTTATAATATACTGAACGTTCGGAATTTAGCACTCAGTACTTCTTCAAGGGGTTAGTCGTTTTTTTCCAATCAAAGAATTGAAAAATTTTGTTCCATAAATCGATTTGTGGAGTCTATATGACACGGCAATATTTGATTTTTGGCAGACTCGAAAAATTGTGAAAGTTATGAAGGTTTGAAGTGCACGGTGTATAAAGCGTGCAGATATAGGTTCGAGCAGATACCAGTCGAACTCTAAACGCGTTTTTCTTGGAAATGCATTTTTCAGGATGGCGAGAGAGATATCTCGGTTATCAATAGTCCAAGTGATTTTCTTTTCAAAGAAACTTTTTATAGTGTGTTTATTAAGAGTCCACGATGATAAAATGCCCAAATCCAAACTATAATTCACTGCCCTATGTCAGGTTTAGAATCGATAACTACCATTTTCTCATTTTGTGCGTCTCCGTTGATCCATTTTTCCAAAATTCATTTCTCTAAAAATTGACACACATATAATGTTGTCGCCAACTAGATTACAAACCAGTTCACGAACCTACGTGACGAAAATTGTCGACGGTATTCAAGATAAATGACCGTAGACACTCGTCTGAATGCTTAAACGGGTTCGAGGGGTGTGCGACTATTACTTAGAACCGAATGTCGAAGAAGAGGAAGACGAATGAGGAGGTTTTAGATTCTAAAGCGTTTTGGACGTGGAGAGAGTGCTCGATGGGTCGCCACAACTCGTGCATCGAAACGAAGGTAAAGTATCCGTTTTGTTTAATGAGCTGTGATGCCTTCTCGTCAAGGCCATTCAACCGTGACTCGAACTGCCAGAGACACCCTTGCGAGGGAGGACTCGCAACTTTCCATTCCTGTGCGTCCCAATATCCTTCCAGCCCTGAAAAACTGTTTGAAAACCCTACAATGTCCCGAAGAAAAAATTTAAACACTGAAGATCGACTGTAGCGAAGCCTAAACCTTTTGAATCATGTCACATGTATTGACAGTGTCTCACGACTTACCTAAACAAAAATCATTTTTTTGTTTAGGTAAGTCGAAACATGAAAGAAGAAGTTAAAATTATTTAAGGAAAGAAAAATTTAGTGAGGTATTAGAATATAAAATATGTTAAAATGGCAGTGCATATGTACGCTATTAATTAATAGTATATATAAACTTAACTTCAAGAATATTCGTTGAATGAATGAAAATATGAGCTAGGAAGTAAATAGATTGTAAAAAATGAGTTTAACGCGAGCTCTGAGATAGAGAAGCGTGGAAAACTGATATGAACGCACCATATAAATGAAAAGAAATTTGATATAGAGCGGGGTAGAATGGCTAAAAAATATGGCGGGGCTCGTCCCTCAATGGCTTTAAGCGGTCGGTTGAATTTGCGTTGGTAACATTGCTGTTCACTTTATCATGCTCGAAGTGGACGTCGACCATTTTTTCACGTGTAAATATGAACCATTATTTGCAGACGCGAAGAAAAGTTTAGAACCAAATCTACCTGTACACGGTTTATATAACATTATAGGGATAAAATTCGTTCCTCTATGACAATTGAATGATCCATCAATTTAAATTAAAAGTTTTCTTCATCACCATCGTTTTTTAGATATAACTTTCAATATATTCGATAGTTTCTCGCTGCATCCATTAGACTTATTAAATGTCAATAAATTGACGTTCATTTCACACTGACTGTTCTCATATTTTTTTAACGTTATTTGAAGAGACTAGCACGTGTGTGTACATTTAATTACTAACTTATTTTTAATGTTGTAACACAAACGTGACGACTAAAACTTTAAATAAATAACGATATATCTAGTCAATATTTATTTTAGATAAAATAATTTGTCCCTGAATAGTTTAATCTTCTCGATTACCTTTTCTCTTTGAAATCTCACTCCTACAGTTTAAAAACATTTTGTTATTTTATTATTTTAGTGTGTATTTATGGCCGAGACTTTCGATTCGTCTTAATAGTCTTATATAGAGTTGTAAAATGAGCGTTGTTTGACACGTAGTGATATCTTACTCGAAGACATATCCAGTAGTTCAATTCAACAGTACAAAGTGTACATTTCTGCACTGAGGATTTACGCAAGAGTCTCTCTTTCGAATGAATGGCACTCACGTGGCAGATATTCAGTTCCTCTTGAATACCTCGCGATGAAAAGAGAATTCAACGAGAAAAGGTTTGAGTGAAACGAAATAGAGGGAAGGATGTAAGAAGTGACTGTTGAGAATATGAAAAATATTGCTTGATTATAGAGGAATACGTAGCCTCTGTTGTACACGAGTGTGTTACAATGAGTTTAAAATAAAAACCAAGTTGTGCTTTCATTTCTAAAGATGCCCTAATTAATATTAGACAGATGTGTTTTGTTCGTTCAGTAATGGAATTCATTTACTACGTTGAATATTTCTTAAAATCGAATTTTTTAAAGAATTATAATTTTACACGTCATTTAATGAAGTACATACTTTCGTTATTAGTCTGAATACGTTCGTCGAGGCTTCGTGTTTCCTATTTATTTTTATTGTACTTTGCACATAATTAGCCCTCGAACTAGGCGGTCTTGCTTATGTTTCTACCTAGACACGAATCAGCGTCTACATACTGCCTTTATTTTTGTCTTGTGCATATTTTATACGGAAGTGTTC